GCTCGAGCGCCCAATCCTCCGCTCGAGCGGACTGTAAAACAGTGCAGAGATACTGGATGCTCAAATTCCACGCTCGAGCGGCACTTCCCCCGCTCGAGCGGAAGTGCAAAATCTGGAAAACCCAGATTGCACCTCCAAGCTCAAACTCAAGTTTAAATGCATCAAAGCCGATCCTCTTGGGCTTATTTTCAGCAAAAGGCAAGTGGGTAGATAGAATAACATGGTTCAAAGCTCGATTTGAGAAATCAAAGCCCAAGGGTGTTTAATTCAAACCCAATTTCAAACCAATTTCATGAACAATACGAACACGCAAACATGCATGAATTCAAATCATTTGGGAGTTCCAATTTGATGCTCTAAGGAGCCAATTGATCCAAAAACAAGTTGAAAACATGGACCATTACAAAGTTATGGACATGCATGTACCATTTTACCATGAAATCAACTCACAACTCAACAATTCAAACATGCATGCATGAAATGAACTTCAATTCACCATTAATGAACCAATTCGTGACTTAGCTCTACAATTTAACATGGACCATGCAAGAATTAGTTCAACCACAAGAATGAGAAGATGAAATCCTTACCTAGGTTCCTTGAATGCAAGTCTAGAGGTTCAATTATGCACTTAAGCTTTCAATTCCTCTAATTCCAAGCAATTCTAAAGATGAATCAAGTTGAAACACTCTACTCCTCTTACTCTCTCTCCCTAGTCGGCAAGGCAAGGAGAATGGCTGAGCAAAATGTGTTTTGATTCAAGTGTAAGGCTCTCATATGTGTGAGATAGTGGATCACTAGGGTTAGTTTGGTAAATAAGGCCAACTATTGCAATTAACTCAATTGAATCTAATTTACTCATACCTAATCAGTTTTCAGATAAATATACCATAAAATCACATTAATTATGATGATCATAAAACATCAATCAATTCCCGGTTCGGCCGCCGATAAGGCCTTCAATTAGCAGTTTAAACATAAAACGTGAACAGATCAAATAATCAATCAAACAGATAGAATACAGATTAACGCACATACTCAGTCAATTCAGTTCCAGTTTTTCAGTCAGTCAGTTCGGTACTTTAATCAGTTCAATTATCAGTCATAATCAGTTCAGTTATCAGTCATAATCAGTGTTTATCGGTAAGCAGTGATGAGGGTTATTACAACAACCCTGCTCAAAACATCCTAAAACTCAATCAAGTGAAATTAAAAGACGGCAACAAGATAGCTACCACTTTCAACTTCACGGAACCGAATCCGGAACACAACAGAACAGTAAAGGGACAATCGGGACCGCTATAGAGTTCAGCGTGGGATGAAATCGTACTTGTGAAAAGCGAGTTCAAAAGAAAAAAAAATTAATCAAACTCGCGTTTTCTAACAGCGAGTTCTTAATTAAACTTGCTTTTCGTAACAACGAGTTTCAATTTTGGCAGGTTTCAGGCGACAGGGGTGGAAAAGTGTTGAACTCGAGATTGTGAACCGCGAGTTAGCTTACTTTGAAAAATCTTTCAAAACTAGGCTTGGTTTGGGAATTCCCTTATTATTTTGGCTTATTTAGGGAAATGCCCCTCAAAACACCCAATCCTTTATTATTATTAAATAAAATTAAATTAAAACAAATAATTTAAGCCTAAAAAGGGTGAGATATCAATAAATAAATAAATAAAAAAAAGAAGATCTGATAAGCACAATATGTCAAATGTGAAGGCTTCAAAAATTACCAGAAAAAATGAGTGGATATAAATCTGCCGTTAAAGGAGTCGATTGAACAATACTATAAACTCAGGCTTATCAACCCAGAATTTAGCTAGGAAAAAAAAAATTAATAGTTCAGATTCATTTCATATGTGGACCCTACACTTCGTCAATTTAATTTTCACCACACAAACACATTCCGATAAATTCAAGACCCGTAAAGATGGGTTCTTAGTATTTTTTGAGGCGATTTGGCCATTAAGCAGAAAGTTTCTCCGCTAGGGCAGGAGTGAGAAAGAAGGCTTTTGTTGCAAAACACAGTGCGGGCTCAGCCCACTCGGCCATTCTTCTGTCTCAACCCGGCCCCGACGGATTGAAACTTTTATAGATTGGGTCAAGATAAACTCTGCCGCTTGAATGAACAAGAATTTAAAATTAAAATATGATAGAGTTAGCTATTATAAATGGGTAGAGAATTATAGAAGAAGATGAATTGGCATAAAAGATATGTATTTTAATAGAATCTTTGTAGTTGGAAGATAATTTTTTTTTTTTTTCTGATTTCAAATAATTATTTTTATATATAATTATTTGTAAATTTATCAAGATAAAATTATTTAATTAAATATTAAAATTCATAAGTAAATATCAAATATAAATTCTCTAAATGAATAAGACAAATCTATAGATTTCAAATCCTGAAAATATGTTAGACTAAAGCATGAATTGGAGTAAAATTTCAAGAATTTTGTATGCCACATGAAGGCTGAATGTATGGCTTGAAAAATAGTGGCACTTAGGCCTTGTTTGAAAACAAACTATTTTAGTAATTTTTTGATTTTTTGATAAAATATGAGATAAAAAAATTAGTATGCTTGAAATGACTTTTTAATTTTTTTACAAAAATATGTGCAAAAAGTAGAGAAAAAAGATAATCGTGACTTTTTTGTATAGGTTATAAGTTTTTTGATTTTTTAATAACTTTTAGACTTTTAGGCTAAAACTATAACATGCCAAACGAGGCCTTGCTATGGTTGTTCGTTTTAGGGAGAATTACTTATCCATTTGACAGGAAAATAAAAAGAAAAGAAATTACAAGCATATGGAGAGATGTAACTTTTCACTTGTATCATACCTTAAAATCACTTGCACTCTCCATATTTTTGTAATTTTTTTCTCTGTTTAATTGTTAAGTAATTCCCCTTTTATTTTATGATTAACAAAATGCAAATTTATTTAAGTGAGAGACAAAAATATTATTCAAATTAAAATATTATCAGTGCAACCATTGCAGTAATATATTATTTTTAAAGATGCAACTAAACGTAAGAGGGGAAAAAATCAAAAAAAAATCAAAAAAATCAAAAAAATAAAAAAAAAATTATTAAAGCAAACAAGTTGCAGACATTGATCGATTCATTACCTAGGGTGGAAGTTAATCAAAGAAAACACCAACTATTGGAATGGTTGGGTTTTTATTTTTTTCTCTTTTTTGTATCGAAATTTGATTAATTAAGTCGAACACACTGGGCATTATGGTAAATAAAAAAGCTCACAGATAATTGTTACCTGGAAAATTCTAAATTTGAATTATTCTGATCAAATGATTATAATATCAAATACATGCATTTCAAATTGACATCCATCCAAATGGACCTCAGACATTGATCGGTTCATTACCTAGGGTGGAAGTTAATCAAAGAAAACACCAACTATTGGAATGGTTGGGTTTTTATTTTTTTCTCTTTTTTGTATCAAAATTTGATTAATTAAGTCGAACACACTGGGCATTATGGTAAATAAAAAAGCTCACAGATAATTGTTACCTGGAAAATTCTAAATTTGAATTATTCTGATCAAATGATTATAATATCAAATACATGCATTTCAAATTGACATCCATCCAAATGGACCTTAGGCCTCACAAAAGTAACCATGTCTACTCAAATTCCTTAGGTGCAAACTTTTTAAAATCTATCTTTCAAGTTCAACATAGCATCTGATCATAGAAAATAAAAATAAATATAAAAAATAATTCAACATAGCATTACACATGATCTTCTAAAGCAAGTGAACTGACTTTATACAACCCCAGATTAGATTCCAATTTCCAAAGTGATCAATTTTATAATTAAGTAATAAAAACAGATAAATTAATCCTTAGCTGAAGTGAACTTCCCCGCTCGCATGTGCCTGTTTAACTGCCTTTTCGTATTCATCTTCTTCCTCCGCTTCTACTTCTTCTTCCTCCTTTATTTCGTCTTCTTCCCCTCCCCAGCCAAAGCCTCCAATTGAGCGCGAAATTGGAGGAGGAGATTTAGCCTCTTCCACAATTTTCATGATGTCCTCCACACTTTGGACAGAAAAGCTAGGGTTTTCTTTCCTGTAATACATGGCTTGAGCTGCTTCAGTTAGTTCCCGAGGCAAGTTCTTCAGAAACCACGGATGACTTTTGATTTCCTTAATGCTGATCCTCTGCAAAACAAGCATGATTTAGAAATGTAATAGGCTGATTGGAGCTATCATGTTTGCAAAGTTACCGTGCATGTTTAGGTCTATGAAGAGCACTTCAAAATCATGATTAGCGTCGGAATTCATATGCTAGGAGCAACAAGTGCCAAAAAAAAAAAAGAGATCATTTCTCATCATCTTAGCTGAAACACATATGCAAAACCACCCAGATGAGAAAAGCAAGTCCAAGCTTTATGATCTCACATTTTCATGCAATTCTCCAAAGTAGATGGTATAATCTAGATTTTCACTGTCACATCAAACACTGACCACCAATTTCAAAATGTAAGATGAAAAAATGCTACATGTCTTTTCTTCATAAACAACATACATACCCTGGACGAAACAGCAACAAATATACGAGAAAGAAGGTGTTTGCAATCTTGGGATATATGAACATAGTCAGGGATCTTGTAATTGACAGCCATTATTCGCTGGAGAAAACAATAACATAAAATTTATAAGTGAAAAAGTTCACTGTTTAATAATGAAGAACAAACAGAACCAAAAGCAGGAAACTTACTTGGATAGTTTTCCTGAAATTCTTGGGGTCTTCTTGATCTTCAAAAGGGTATGCTCCCACCAGCATTACATACAGAGTCACCCCACACGACCATACATCTGCTAACTGAACAAACACAAAGAGAAATAAACAAAACTGCAAACATCGCTCTACCCAAAACATCCACATCTTTCCAGGCATAGTCGTCCATGCATGTGTGCCACACACACACTCGCACAAAAAAAAAAAAACAGAGAGAGAGAGCTGCAGAAATAATTTCTAAGTGTTGCTGTTACTTTACTCCCAAGCAATAGGAGAATTATATTATACTACAACCTTTCCCCTGGAAACTCTATATAAATTGACTTTCCATTTAGTAACACAAAAGATTGATCACAACATGGATATTTCCAATCAACAAAAATTAATTATTTTTTATTCCTTGTTTATTTTCAACGGGAAATTATATCAATACTTGCTAAATCATCCACACGCACACAGGTTAAACTAAAAGAATGTCCATGGGTAGGGGGAGGTCAGAGATGACACAAGAGCTGCTGCAACAATCAGAAAAGCAAAGAAATACAAAGGAGGGAAAGACATGAATAAAATTTTATATCCGCTTCCTCTATACCAGTAGGCCACACAAGTAACGGCTAATTCCTTTTAAGCCAACAGCTTCCACCTCATCTCATGGATCCAGCAAATCACTTGACAGACATGAAACTATAATTGTACATGGAATAGATCAATCAAAGGAGATAAACAAATAAAAAAGGAACGATCAAAACAGGGCCCTAAAAATTATTATCAAGTCATACAATTTTGAGGAGGCTAAAAATAAGTGGAGAATGGGTCAAATTGGTAATAGATTTCAGAACAACCATCAGTCTTTCAAGAAAAAAACTAGCATTGTGGAGAAATGAGCATTCAAGGTCAAAACCATCTAAGTCAGACATATAGTATAAAGAATATTTATTTTTACATATAAGTAAATAGTATAAAGAATAATTCATATGAGTTTCAACCATTTTAGTTAAACTGAAACAAAAGCACCAACTACATGTCTTTTTTTCTCATTTAAGTATTAACTAACTAAATATTGGTGTGAATGATTTGCATAAATCCAATCCCAGTGGTGAAATAAATTTGATAGAATATAAGTTATTACTCCGTAACAATTTACTTTGGGTCCAGATCAGAATACTCTCTCAAAAGTTTAGCATCTCTACAAAATTTCTGATGCCAGAATGTTCTAAACTGCTGCTTCCAGAATACAGGGCAACTGCACTATATGCTAATTGATACATCAAATAGTCAGTGCAATACCTTGCTATTGCATAAGGCATATGCATGAACTGGAAAATAAGAAACCTACGATTGCAGCTGGTCATTTGAATTATGAATTTGCAGTAACTTTTTAAGAACATGACTTGGTCTTCAAGACTTCAATTTTGAAAGATCAAGGGATAGATTTCATAGCCTTATAGCAGACTCAGGGGATTTGAAATAACAATGTAAAGAGAGTTATTTGAAATCCATCTCATGTGGGATGCTAACCGCAGGACTCTAGTTGATGTGCCTAAGCTAGCTCTACATTACCCTCCTCCCTCAACTCTCCCAACCCAACACTATAACCAATCCTCAATCATATTTAGTGTGTTTGGTTTCAGTTTTCTGAAAATTGAGTTTTTTGTTTTTCATATTTTTTTCGTTTTTAGTGAATATTTTTAAAATTTTAAGCAATTTTTTTACTTTTTTAGATGCACCTTACTTAAAAGTATCTAAATAGTAAAATGTTTATGAAAAAATATTTTAGAAAATTAATAAATACACAAAAATACAAAAAAATGTATTGAATTTTCTTTTTTCTTTTTTGTATTTTTTGGTATTTATTGTATTTTTTAAAGATTTTTTTTTACAAATATTATATTTTTTAAGTGTATTTATGTTAGGTGTGTCTAAAAATTAAAAAAAAATGCTTAAAAAATTTAAAAAATTCATTGAAAACATTAAAATACAGTAAGTAAAAAAGTAGAATTTTCTGAAAACTAGTTTCTAAAAATCAGAACCAAACAAGCTGATTACAAATTTAAACTTTAGATCCCCCTCGTTTCAATCCGTCAATTGAAATGCAACCTAAAAGAATGGAGTTAGATCCCTCTGTACGAAATTGAGGCAAAGCCATAACAAAACACAAGTAATGAATGTCTTAAATATACTCATTCATAACCCCTGCATAAGCAAACATACATATTAAGAAACCAAAATAGGTTCAGAATCAATAGATATCATTCACAATGCTCATCCAACACATTGTCATTGAAAGATTACAATAGTTGACTCAGTCAAATCCTTGAGCATTATACACAAGCCAGACAAAATAAACATTATAGCAATTTTACCTTGCCGTCATATTCTCTCCTGGAAAGAACCTCCGGCGCTATATACGCAGGAGTGCCAACTGTTGATTTGGGTCTTGAATGCAGCAGAGATGACTACAAAAGAAGTATAAAAATAATCAGTATGTACTACATATATTTCTATTCTGCAAACTAGCCTAATTTAAATAATATAGACCTTTGAGTATCCAAAATCACAAATTTTCAGCCGTGGTGCAGGGCTTCCATCCAACAGGGTATTCTCCAGCTTCAAATCTCTGTGGCATATTTGCTACACAATGGGAAATGATTAAAGCATTGCAATTCTAGTGTAACAAAAAAATAAAAGAAAAATCTTGTCATACAACTAAACTATGTACTAAACACATAGATAAACATGAATTCCTAATTTTATTCTAAATTTTCATTACCATGGTATGACAGTAGCTGACTCCAGAAATAAGCTGCTGGAAGAAGTATCGAGCCTGAAAATTTTGAAATTAAAAAAAATAATAATAATTATCAGACTAAATATCAAAAACATCAACAAAGCTACGAATTATAAAAATAGAACAGCTTTAGAAGACCTCATCTTCGCTGAATCTTCCGGCATTGCAGATTCGCTCAAAGAGCTCACCACCAGCTGCGTACTCCATGACAATAGCAAGATGGGTTGGAGTCAAAACAACCTGTAAATCCAAAACCCAAATTACAAACTCATGATTAACTCTGATTTATGATCTAGCCTACCCATTAAAAGAAAAAATAAATAAATAATACTAGCCTCTTTGAATCGAATGATATTAGGGTGTCGAAGCGATCTGTGATTTATGATCTCCCTTGCCACATTCTCATCAATCTGCAACAACACATCTATCAAAATTTTTAAAAAAAATGCATATAGATTAAAACCCAAAAAATAAAAATACAAACTTTAAACGTCAATAATAGACATACCTTGTGCCCTCTATCGATGTATTTCATAGCGACGAGCTCTTTGGTTTCTTTGTTCCGCATAAGCCTCGCGACACCGAAATTTCCAGATCCTAAATCCTTCACAAGCTCGTACTTGCCCATTTCTTCACACATTCAATTACAGGAACACCAAACTAACCTCGAAATCTCAATAAATTAAGCTTCGATTCACACGCTCAAGCTCGACGAAACCAAATCTTTTTTTCGCTCGAATTGGGAACGGAAAGTTGGAATCTCGAAACCTAGGGTTTGGACACTGCTTTGGATGGATTTGAGAAGGAATAGAGAAGGGTAATGTAGTGGGAAAAAGTAGATGAATTTGAAGAGATTTGAAGGAAAGTAAGGAATGTGCAATAGGAGCGAAATATGGATCCTGTTACCTTGTATGGAGAGACATAGAGAGAGAGAAGCAGCACATGCAGTGGCTACACTGGAGGCTGTTTGGAGGTTAAAATTTGATTCTTTTTCTTATTAAAATTTAGGATAAATTATATTTATCCTGCGACTTATTTTAATTACAGATATTTTTTCTATAATTTTAAAAATTACACAGATTTTTTTTACTTTTGAAACTAATATACAAAAATTCATTTCTGTCACACATCCGTCTAAAATTAAATAGATTTTACTAATATCATCTATAATTATTCTACAAATTTTAATACTTCTCTTTAGCTACTTAACATATTAAAATAAATTACAGTTACCTCCCACTTCATATATGTATATATATAAATCATGTTATAATATATATTTTTAAAATAGTGTACTATATGCAACTTATGGCATTTGTGGTGTTTATAACTAAATTTTTTTCAGTCATAATTAAAACAAAAATTATAATTAAATACCACATAAAGTATAATTAAAAACATTTTAGATCATAACCAAAATAATAATTACAATAAATGATAACTAACATTATAATGAGTCATAACCAAGCCATAACTAACACCATAATAAGCTATGAAGCATGGATACTTAACAACATGGGTATTTGACAACACATGTCATACCCGTATCGGATACTTTCCGGCATATGGTACTTTTGCATACGTACCGGGTACACAAAACACGTATTCAAATTTTTTTTCTTCTTAATTTTTAACTTACCCAGACGTACCTAAAATATACTCAAGCTATACCGTATCTCAGTGAAAACAATATTTTCTTAAACTATAAAGATAAAATTCATTTCACTAGATTTTTTTTTATTTTTAATTTTATATTTAATATGATTTTAAAATTAAGTTATAATTTGTAAGTTATTTAATATAATAACATTTAATTTTGGTTTATATATTTACTTTTGGCATTAAATGTTAATTGTAGGTTGGATCTTAACAAATTAATCTATTTAATCAATTTTTGTATTATTCCAAATTAAAAATAAATATTTTTTTACAAACATACGAAAGCCATACTTGTATCCTATTTTTTTTTTTTTAATTTTACTGTATTAACGTACCTATATTGTACCAGTACCAGTACTCACGTTCGTACTTGTGCTTCATAGATAATGAGTCATAACCAAGCAATAATTAATACTATAATAAGTCATAATCAAATATCATAAATATCATAATTAGAACATATGATCCTATATATATGTGTTAACTTTTAAATCTAAGTGACTACATATATATATATATACATTGCTGATTCAAACTAGTAACAATGATACTAATATTAATATCCCTCAAATGATAGAATGGAAGGATATTACTCTCCCTGATCAATGGATTACGGTTAATGAAAATTACAAACATAATCAACAACAATCCACTAGTCAAGATATCCAAGATATTCAACAATTCACTGACGGTTCAGTCCGTATTAAATTTAATCGTAGTCAATCTTCTAGACATAGTACTTCTAGTATACCTACTGATCTTGAAACTGAAGATGAAATATTTAATACTCCTTTATTCCGAAAAAATAGTCAAATTAATCTTGGTCAACCCTCCCATAGTAAATTAAAAGGCATTGATAACTCTACTTACCTCTCAAATTAGTAAGCATGTTTACTCTACTCATACACATTTCCCTGAAGAAGATACTGAATCAAATAATTCTCCTGCTCAAACTGATTTCAAAGTAATACCTCCAATCAATCCTCAATTAATGACAATTAGTAAATCTTTTGCTCCTGATCTTGATAAATTACAAGTCGAATTTAAATCTAAAGAAAATAGGACTAAAAGACATGTTTATCGTGCTAAATATGATTCTACTCAACAATCTAAACTTACTACAAAATGGTATGATTTTATAATTGAATATAGTACGAAAATTCATTTCTTTGAATATTTAGACAACTATTACAAAAAGATTAATACAATCACAAAACATAAATGGAAAACTTCTCCAAATACTTCTGTTAGCTCTAGTCATCCTCCTTTATCAAATATTATTATTGAACATCAAGGATCTGAAGTCTCAGCCTCTCCTTTTAAGTTACCTGGCACTGACCCTGAAATTAAAAAAGTTATTGAACAAAATAATTATACTAATCAATGTTTAAAAACAATTGGTAAACAATTAAATAAACTAGAAACTAATTTAGATGATTATTCTGCTAACACTACATCTCCTAAACAATCTTTAGATCAACCTTTGATTAACTTACCCAGTAATCGTTCTAAAAGAAATAGTTTAGTCACTCAAGATACTTCTACTGTTAAAGCTATAGAACAACTATTCACTAAATTAACTACTTTGGAACAAGCTTCACCATATAAGGAAAAAGGTCTTACTGTCCTAAACCAACTTTTAGAGAAGACTTCTACTCAATCAAAAACTGATACAACTGATAATGAAATTGATCAATTAGCTTAACAATTTCAATCTTCTCATCTTAATAAACTCCACTATCTTAAACCTCAACCGACTAATCTTACTAAAAGTTGGTATTCTCGACCTACTCCACTTGACCTCCAATATGAAGAAACTAATCTTTCTAATTAATTTTCTGTATCTGCTAAAAAATTATACGAATAAAATATTGATGGTCTTAGTGAAGATCAAATACTTCAAAAATTAAATCACTTATCTATAGTTGCAAATAGTTATCTTACTAACTACCCTGATTACTCTCAACCTGAAATTACTTCTTTAATTACCTCTGGTTTTACCGGTATGCTCAAATCTTGGTGGGAAAAATACCTTACTGAAGATCAAAGAGAATCAATCTTACATGCTAATCAAAAAGATGAAAATGATTTGCCAATCTTTGATGAAACTATTGACTATTACAAACCTGATGGTGTTAACACATTAATCTATACTATAATTAGACATTTCATAGGTACTCCTACTAATATATATTCTCGCATACATGATCAACTTAGTAACCTTAATTGTCCAAAATTAAGTGATTTTGGATGGTATAAAGATGTATTTACCTCTAAAGTTATGTTAAGAGAAGATTGTACTAAATCTTTTTGGAAATAAAAATTTATAAACGGATTACCTAATTTATTTGTTCACAAAATTAGAGATGTTCTTAGTCAACCTATTGATATCATTGAATATGACACTTTAATTTATGGTGATATCATTAGCACTATTCAAAAAGAAGGATTAAAAATGTGTATTGATCTTAAATTCAGTCACAAAGCTACTAAAGATAAACATAAGGCTAAATATGAATTAGGCAATTTTTGTGAACAATATGGTTTACCTCCTGTTGCACTTTCCCGTAGGAAAACACATAAAAAAAATAGTAAATCTCATTACAAATATTCAAACAAGTATAAAAAGAATTATTCACCTTCTAAATCAAATGATAAATTCTATACTAAACCTAAAAAGAAATATTACAAGAAATCACATCCAAAACCTAAATCTAATAAAGATATTACTTGTTACAACTGTGGTCAAAAAAGTCATTATTCTAATAAATGTAAAGAAAAACAAAAATTAAAAGATAAAGTTAATCAACTTCAAATTAATGATGAATCAAAAAACCAATTATTTGAAATCTTTCAATTAAATCAATCTGTTAGCAATTCATCTCCTGATAATTCTAATACTTCATCTAATTACAATTTACCTAGTGAAGATTCTGATAATAATATAGAATTAGAATGTAATGATGTTTGTTGTAAACCTGTTAAACAAATTATTGTTCTTACTAAACAAAATCAAGAAGAAACTGCTCTTATTAAATTAATTAGTAGACTTGAAGATTCTGAATTAAAAAAGAAATATACTGATAAATTAAAATCTTTGTTAATCAATACTAATCATAAACCTAAGTTTGATAAGCCTATTATTAGTCTATCTAAAACCTTAGAAAGATTTTAAAAAAAAACACAAAGAAGTTACCTTACAAAATTTACAACAAGAAATTAATCAGATTAAACAAACTATTAAAGATTTACAAAATAAAGATCAACATTTAGAAGATGAAATTATTGCATTAAAACTTAATAAAAATTTAGATAATTTCAAAACCAATAATGTTTCTCCTAATGAATCTGAACATGAATCTGATGAACCTACTAACCCTGATAATCTTTTATTTGATAATCGATCACATCAATCTCAATCTCATAATCATAAAAATAATAGATTAAATCTTCTTAATAAAATCCATATTCAAAAATGGTATTCTAAAATTAAAATAGTTATTAATAATTTTGAATTAGATGTTATCGCTTTAATTGATACTGGTGCCGATCTTAATTGTATTCAAGAAGGATTACTCCCTACTAAATATTATGAAAAATGTCGTGAAAAATTAACTTCTGCTAATGGTAGTAAAATGCATATTAAATATAAAATACCTAAAGTTCATATATGTCAAAATAATGTTTGCTTTAAAACTTCCTTTGGTTTGGTTAAAAATATGACTGATAAAGCTATTTTAGGAACACCATTTTTATTTTTACTATACCCATTTACCACCTCTAGTGAAGGAATAACTACTCATGTTTTAGGGCAACCTGTTACTTTTAAATTCTTATCTCCTCCTGAAATATTAGAATTAAAACAATTAAAAGATTGCTCTATTTCTCAAACGATTAATCAATTAACTTGTCATTTAAGATATCTTAAAGAAGAAATTAATTACAAAAGAATTGATCAACAATTAACTAATCCAGTTATTATTTCTCAAATTAATGAATTTAAATGAAAATTAGAAACTACCGTTTGTTCTACTTTACCTACTGCATTTTGGCATAGGAAAAAACATGTAGTTACATTACCATATATTAAGAATTTTCATGAAAGTCAATTCCTACTAAATCTAGACCTATTCAAATGAATCATGAATTACTTGAAATGTGTAAAAAAGAAATCAATGAACTATTAAAAAATCGAATAATTAGTCCAAGTAAATCACCTTGGTCATGTCCTGCTTTTTATGTTAATAAAAATGCTGAATTAGAATGAGGTATCCCTCGCTTAGTCATTAATTGTAAACTATTAAATGCTG